AATTAATTATAGAATCCTTGAAGTGAAATAATTTGAGTGGACTAATGCCTCTAATAGTGGTCCCTATCTTCTGTAATTTTGGGTATAATTTATCATATATGTTTGTGTTTCTGCATTTAGCAATCTTATCACGTATGTTTGTATATAATTTTATAATTATAAAATTAATTATAGAATCCTTGAAGTGAAATAATTTGAGTGGACTAATGCCTCTAATAGTGGTCCCTATCTTCTGTAATTTTGGGTATAATTTATCATATATGTTTGTGTTTCTGCATTTAGCAATCTTATCACGTATGTTTGTATATAATTTTATAATTATAAAATTAATTATAGAATCCTTGAAGTGAAATAATTTGAGTGGACTAATGCCTCTAATAGTGGTGTATGTTTTGTAAATAATTTTATAATTACAAAATTAAGGGACAATTACCACAAAAAAAAAAATCTCAAGGTTTGAGCATTTTAGTAAAATAAGCTTAAATTTTTTTATTTTGGTATAAACTTATGAATTTTATATTTAAAAAATATATTAATCTCACTTACAACTTGTAAATCCTATAATTTTGGATCAATCGAATTTCGTATTTTGTTTTCAAAGTTTATCAAATTTGTTTACAAAATAAGATACTCTTAAATGATGTAGTGCTTATGAAGCAAGTGGTGCATACCATACAATTTCCCCTCTTAAATTGATTATTACACTATACATGGTAGATATTTTCTTTCCAACAGTAATCAGAGTACTAATTTTGGTATTCTAATAGAACACTAATGACATGACAAGGAGAAGAAAAAAAAAACAAACAAACCAATACCAAAATGTCACATCACAGTGGGTGGGACCCATTACAAGCTCATTAGAGTTGATTTTAGAACTCAAGAATTAGAGCTTCAAAACATTTTCATTTTCTTTCTCTCACACACACATAATGCTAGTAGCTAGAAACACTATACACCTTGTTTGGTTTTAGAAAATTAAATTCACATTTCAAAAAAAAAATTATTTTATTTTATTTTATTTGGTTTTTAGTCAAATTTTTTAATGATTTAATATTTTTTTAAAAAAAATTTAGATGCACTTAACCTAAATATACTTAAAAAGTATAAATATTTATAATTTTTTTTAAAAAAATTCATCAAATATAAAAAAAAAAAAAATTAGTACATTTTCATATTCTTGTATATTTATTAAAATTTTAAAATATTTTTTCATAAATATTTTATTTTTTTAAGTGCATTTAAGAAGTAAAAATTTACTTCAAATATTAAAAAAATTGACAAAAGACAAAAAAAAAAGGGTAAATTATTTATAAGTCCTAGTTGGAAGACTTATACAAGATATGGTCCTATGAAAAAACTTATGACCTAATAGGTCCTGTAATTTTTCTTGTGGACACATCTACCCCCAATTTTAATTAATTAATAACCTGATTAATGATAATACCATATATGAAAATCTAATGTTACTATAGATTATGATCATATCTAGATGGTTAGAAAATTGAAATTCAAAATAACCTAATTAATGGCAATACTGTATATGTGAAATTCAATATTACCATAGATTGTGATCATATCTATATGGTTGGAAATTTGAAATTCAAAACGTAAATGTAACATGTAACATTCCAAACCCAATGTAACATTCCATACGCTTTTGAAATTCAAAATAACTTGATTAATATCAATACCATATATAGGTAATCCAATATTACAATAGATTGTGATCATATCTATATGATTGGAAATTTAAAATTGAAAATATAAATGTAACATGTAATATGTAACATCCCAAACCCACCGTGATATTCTTATATACTTCTCATCCCAAACCCAATGTGACATTCCAACACTCCACCGTTGAATTATGAATAATGTAACCTCCTAAGGGTGTGTTTGATTGGACAGACTGGATAAAAGGGAATTAGAATTTATCGGACTTGAATCCTAGAACTGTGAATCCCTTGGACTATATGGTTGGATTGGATGTGTATCCCGTGTTTGTTTTTTTCATGAGATTAGATGTCTGGAAATGACTATTTTTAGTAAATCAAATGTTTGGTTGGACGGACTGGATAAAATAAATGAGCAAAAAACTATTTTATCCCTTTTCAATTGTTTACTAAGTAATAGCAATATTAAACATATCTTTAATATTTTAATTATTTTTAGCTAGATTAAATAAAAATTTATTTTATTTTATTTTGTACACAATTAAATAAATTTATTTTTAAAAAATTAAATAAATAAAATAAATAAAATATCAATAAAAATATATGTTATTTTTTAAATTAAAATTTTAAATAAATTTATTTTTTAAAATAATAATAATTAAGTAATGAAATTAAATAAAATAGTTATTAAAATTTAAATAATGAAATTAAATAAAATATAAGCAAAATTTTAAAATAAAACATCAATAAAATATCTATAATAAATTATTTTTAAAAAAATTAAATAAATAAAACATCAACAAAAAGCTAAATAAAATTATTTTATTTTTAAATTGAGACATTTAAATTTTATTGAATTTTACTAAATATAATACATAATTAAATAGTAGAGGGTCAAAATGGTCATTTCACCACCTAATCTTAACAGTAAATAGTCCTATGAAAATTGTCCCACACCTCTCCAGGATAGTATAGTCCCCCATATGGGGGATAAGGAGTCCGACAGACTAAAAAAAAAAATAAACGTCGAATTGGATGCTTCTCCTGAATTACAATCCGCACAATAAATAGTCTCCCCTTATCCCCCCAATCAAACACATCTTAAATGTAATATATAACATCCCAACCTAACCCATTTATTGAACCATCATCACTTCCAACCCACCGTAACTTCGATATCATACGACAGGGTTTAACCCACATTCAATTAAAAAAATTAAAAACCTAGTAATTTTGCGCATGTAATGTAACACGTATGAAAATACTGAATATAACAACGACACAACACACATTCAAAGATAAATACAACCGAACATAACACATAAAAGATATAACAACGTGGTAGATGTGGGTTAACATTACAACCTAAATATAATGTCATTGGAGACTAATGAAAGTATGCCAATGAATGGCTGTAATAGATTGTCAAAGCCATATAAGTTAATATGACAATGGCCCTGTTTGGTAGAGCTGTGGGAAAGTGCTTATAACTTATATTTAAACAGCTTATAACTTATAACTATGAACATAAGCTGATTTCTGACTTATAAATTAAGCATCTCCAGCCCTACTCAAAGAATAAGCTGATTTTTGACTTTCAATAAGCTATAAGCTATAAGTTAAACCAAACACATCAAAATAGCTTAAATTAAGCTGAAAGCTGAAATAAGCAGCTTTTAAGCTGCACCAAACAGGGCCAGTGAAACATGTACAATTGACACAATACAACAACAAATCTCACCAACTGGAGAAGCAAAAACCATACCTCATTCCCTCAATCACTTGGAGTCCAAATCAACAGAAACAAACAAAACACAACCTCTAACCTTGACAACAGTATTGGTTATATCGTCATCCAAACAAGCAACATTTTCAAAATCCATCAGAATCTGCGATCAAGACAACATTCCTGCCCATGGACGTAGCCTGCACAATCCACTTTCCTAAAAGCCTCCAAAAACGTAATATACTGAATGATAAAATAAACTATAATATGAAAATAAATAAGGGGTATAATAGTACACTAATACCATTTATTTATAACTCATAGAACCTTATGGAACATATTCCTATCTAATAGGACTTGGAACTCTATAAAAAATTACACAAGACTTCACATTAAATAAATTCCCATAATAGGACCTATAAATAATTTTCTCAAAAAAAGTATTTAAAAAGAATATAAAAAGAGTATTTTTATTCAAGACAAAAAAATTAGACCCAATTTTCAAATTGAGTGATATGACAATCAATAGAACTAGGGATGTAATCGGTTCGGTACAGTCAGTATTTAGGTAAAAAATTACACCGAACCGATAATGTCGGTTTTATTATTTTGAACACCGATACAGACCACTTCTCCCATCAAACCGCATCAAACCGAACCGATTGAAATGGTTCGATTTGGTGCGTTTAATCGATTTAGGATTTTTCAAACTTGAGTCACGTTTAAATATAATCATTAATCTATATAACAATATTAAATTAGTTATTAGTCTACCATTTCAAATATATCCAATCCATTCATTTAATATGTACTTTTCAATTCTTAAATTAACAAAAATAAAAACAAAAAAAAGTTTAAAAATACTAAAGTTTCAAGAATAATGAGTTGGAGTTAAGATTTTATATAATAAGAGGTTACAAACTTAGGTTATAAAGATGATAATGTTAATTAATTAAGGTTAATAATTTATTATACTTATTAATATCGTTATATTATTAGATTATATATATATATATATATACAATATATGTTGAAGCGGTCGATTTCGGTTTAGATCGGTGCATAAGATTCTTAAACCGATACCGAACCGAACACCGAAAAAAATTAAATTTAAAAACCGCACAAACCGATTCTTGTTAAAAAACAGACCAAATATAGTCGGTTTGATCCGACTTGATCAGTTTGGTTAGTTTTTTTTATTTTTCTTACATTCCTAATTAGAACATTAAAGGTAACACTCTCTTTCATATTTTCTCTAATAATCAATTAATCATTATCCATAAAATGAGTCTAAAAAGTAAACTTGTATATCAATTTTTTTTCAAAAAATCAATTCAAATCAAACAAAGATAATTAATACAAAATTTTAATACACAGAATGTACATAAACTCTCACATGACAATAATCCAACATATGTGTAGGCTACACATGTAATTATCTTAACATAAAAAAAAAAGATACTCCAATCGTTCTGGTTTTGACCTTTTTGACTGGGCTCAGTTATACTTTAGCAGCTTATAAGATGCCAACTGGATCTCAACAGCAACAACCCATCTCTCTCTCTCTCTCTCTCCCTATATATATATATCCTATATCAAACGTATGTTTAGCCAAAAAGCCAGCATATATGCCAAAGGACTCATAAGTATTACTCCCCCAGCAGTAACCTGCAATTTACTGCCTCTCCCTCGTACATACATATATATATGCAAGCTTTATATCATATGTTTATATATATATAGTTCTCCGTCTCTCAAAAGCTGTCCAAATATATGTAAATTTTCTTTAATTTAGATCTTGAAAGCTATACCATATACCTTTTAGATAAAGCAATCCACAATTCACGTGCCTTCTCTCACCAGAATTCTTTTACCATTTCAAAAATCTCACTTTTTTATTTTGTTTTTGTTTTTATTGTATATATTTAGAAAAAAAGTTCTCAGAAAGAGTGGATAAATTTTGTGGACTTTCTTTGAGAATCTTGAAATTTGAGTTTGGTGAGAGATGGGTATGTGGTGGTTTTGTGGGTTGGTTGTTTTGTGTTTGGTTTTTGGTGTGAATGGGTTTCCAGAGGAAGATCTGGTGGTGAGGTTGCCTGGGCAGCCAAATGTTGGGTTCAGGCAGTATGCTGGGTATGTTGATGTGGATGTGAAAGCTGGGAGGAGTTTGTTTTACTACTTTGTTGAAGCTGAAAAGGACTCTCTTCATAAGCCCCTCACTCTCTGGCTCAATGGAGGTTGGTTTTCTTTTTCATTTCATTTTCTTGCTTTTTAGGCCAAGTACATTGATTGATTGAAGTCAACCCCGCCCCCCTCTCTCTCTCACTTTCACTTTCTCTTTATTTCTTCACAAACAAACAAAACTGCTAGTTCTGTAAATTTTCATGTTGCCCAAGTGTGTTTACTTTTACAGGGACATTTTTTGTCTGCTTTATTGGTAAATTCTTTCTACTGTTAACCCTTTGGTTGCTGTTCTTGTTTTGGGTTGTTGGTCTTGTGCCCCCTTTTGCCTTTTGTTTTGAATATTCACTCACTCTTGTTTTGCTAATTTACTCAAGAATCTTTGAACTGTTGCTTTTTTGGTCTTCTGTAGTGGCTGTAGATATATTGGTAGACTAGCAATTACTGTTATATTCACTACTGAAAATATATATATATATATATATATTAACAATTGGGCTTAGTGATTTCCACTCTTTTATTTTTTTTCCCCTCTATATATATAATTTTTGCTGTAAGTTTCAATTGATAAACTTCAATTTCAGATGATTCTGCTTCTGAACTGCATCTGATATCCAGAGAATTTAAGAAAATTTTCAAATTTTAATACCATTATTACAGTTAGAATCTTAAAAATAGCCCAAAGAAACACATCTTGGCAATTGGACCTCATTTTTAGGTTTAAATGAAAAATGAAAAATTGTTTGTAAAATTGAGTTGACATGTTCTGTGAATGTGGCCTACATTCTAGTCATGAAAACCACCAAGGTATTCAATTACCATGACAAAGTGAAATGTGGAGGAAGTATATATATATGTCTATATATATTTTAAGCTTTAACAATATTCTAATCCTCTGAGAAGTACATGTTTTTTAATGGGTTAATTGATGTGTTATCCAATGTTGTGCAAGTCGAGGGAAAATGTAAACTTATCCAGTTTTGTGAAGTTGGAATCTCTTAAACGGTGCGAATTTTAAGGTTTAACTTCTGTGTGTAGGTCCAGGTTGCTCCTCAATTGGTGGGGGTGCCTTTACAGAGTTGGGTCCTTTCTTCCCTAAAGGCGATGGCCGGGGCCTCAGAAGAAATTCGATGTCATGGAATAAAGGTAGAATATGCATAGAATGCTGTTTGGACTTGGTTATACTCTCTAGTGATTATTGTTAATTCAGTTTACTAATTTAATTCCTGTTTTTACCTTTTGTAGCATCAAATCTCCTTTTTGTTGAGTCTCCAGCAGGGGTAGGATGGTCATACTCCAATACAACTTCGGATTATGTCTGTGGTGATGACTCCACGGGTAAGAATATAATCCCAAACCCATCTTACCACTAAAATTGACTAATTCAAGTGTTATTTTCTGAGAATAGATGATGTTGAAGATGAAATGTGTCAATAGTTGCAAAATTTTGAATATGTGATACAGCAGAAAGTTTTATGCAATTATATGTGATAGAAGAAACACGGACACGACACTCATGAGACACTTATCAACTGTTGTTGCCAGACACACCTCCAAACATGTCTTTTTTTTAAATTACACTTGGTAAAAATGTGCTCAACGCTTAGACTCACATGAAATACAATCAACTTGTTTGGTTCCGGTTTTTCGGACCTACTTTTTTGAAAATTTTAGAGTTATTGTTTGGTTGTTTAGAATCTCTGTTTCGGATTATTTTTCAATATGATTCTGCACGTGATCTCAGTAGATGTGAGGTACTACAGCCTATTACTCTACTCCTACTACTACTAAACTCTGTCTTGCTCTCTTTTTTCGGACCTATCTTGTACATACATACATAATACAAACACGGGACTAGTGCTTGCTCTCTTTTTTCGGACCTATCTTGTACATACATACATAATACAAACACGGGACTAGTGCTGATGTGACAATTTTTTTTCTTTTTTATTTTGTTAAATGTATTCTAGAAGCAGCTCTCTCTCTCTCTCTCCAATTGTGGAGGGAAATTTGAAATTACAATAATGCATTTTTTGGAAAACCAAACACATCCATTTTCAAAACATAGTTTTCCAATCATTTTTTTTGAAAAATAACTCAAAAAAGTGAAACCAAACATGATGAATATAATTTTAAACAAAATAACTTGAAATCCAATGAGAAAAGAAAACCAATGTAAAATTATACCTATTCTCCTCATTTAGAGTTCAGAAATTAGTTACATAGCATTTTTTATTGTCTTTGAATTAAATAGCATATATGAGTCATATAATAAGTATTTTTTCTTATACATGACATATAAATATATGAAACTATATATCTTAACCCCCATATGTTGTGTCTTACATTTTTCAAAAATTTATGTGTCGATTGTTTTTGGCAGCTGGTGATATGCATATGTTCATGATGAAATGGTATGAGAAGTTTCCAGAATTCAAATCCCGAGATTTGTTCCTCACAGGAGAAAGCTATGCAGGTAAGAAAGTACAATGGAAACTCCTAAGTCTGGTAATGGACTTATTTTTTCAATGAATACTATGTCGAAAACACACATTTTTAAAGCTGTTTTTGATGTTTGGATAAGTAGAGCCCAGAAATTGTAACAGAAAAATGCTCAAAACCACGGCCGCAAGACAAGAGTACGAGTACCTCGTTGTCAATGATGCTATGCTTCTTGAATATGACAGAAACAGCATGCTTTCTCATAGTTCTTGTTTTGGTTTGGTTTCCCACAAAACCAAAAGGAAGTCTGGCCAATTTGGTGTTTTTATCTATGATCGATTAATTTAAAATTAAAAAAGGATAAGGATATGATTAGTTCTGTAAACATTTTGAATCATTAATTTGGAAGGTTGCTCATGAAAACATAATTATCCAACTAAAAACAAAATAACAATCTATTTCTGGTTCTGGTTGTGATCAATGTTGTAGTAACTCTGTTTGCTATTTACTTTGTTTTCCCTTATAATCCATGTCAACAGTTTCATGTACATGTTAATGTGTTTTTGCAGGGCATTACATACCACAGTTGGCCATTGCCATTCTTGACCATAATGCACATTCCAACGGTTTTAAGTTCAACCTGAAAAGCATTGCTGTAAGAACAACTCGATACGGGTTTTCATCAGCCTTCTTTTATTAGTAAATTTTACTTAATATCTAGCGGTTTCTCACATATTTGTTTTTTTCTTTCTCATTATTTTGATTAGATTGGGAATCCACTTCTCAAACTGGATCGCGATGTTCCAGCAACATATGAATTTTTTTGGTCGCATGGAATGATTTCTGATGAAATTGGCCTCACCATCATGAGTGACTGTGCTTTTGAGGATTATACCTTCACTTCTCCACACAATGTCACCGATTCATGTAACAATGCTATATCTGAAGCAAACAGCATTGTAGGTGATTATATCAACAACTATGATGTGATCCTTGATGTTTGTTATCCATCTTTAGTACAGCAAGAGCTACGATTGCGAAAAATGGTAATTTTTTTTTCGTTACATTCACCAGTTTTTTTAACTGTTTTCATCGAAGAATTATAAAGATGAAATTTCTGATTGAAGGCTACCAAGATTAGTGTTGGGGTTGATGTGTGCATGAGCTATGAAAGGCGCTTCTATTTCAACCTTCCCGAGGTTCAGAAGGCTCTTCATGCAAATAGAACCAACTTAGCATATGACTGGTCTATGTGCAGTGAGTAAGTATTTTTTCCAAGCAGTATTTACAATGAGCTTTCGACCAACTTAGAGAAATAATGAATTATGCATAAAGTAAGCGTGTAAAAATTCAGTATTATTTACCAATTTACCAAAGCTTGTCATTGATCTCTCATGTTATGTCAAGATAGTTAAGATTAGTACTTAAGTATACTGATTTTTCTCCTTCACTGGATAGTGTTGTGAACTACAGCAGCACTGATGGAAACATTAATATCCTGCCCTTGCTTAAAAGGATAATCGAAAATCACATCCCAGTTTGGATTTTCAGGTATAACTGTTGATTATAATGAAAATAGAAATAATTTCCCATGTATGCCATTGTTTATCACAAATATGATGGTGTTCACATTTACCCAAATGTAGTGGGGATCAAGATTCTGTCGTGCCATTACTCGGTTCGCGCACACTTGTCCGCGAACTAGCTCATGATCTACATTTCAAGATCACAGTCCCATATGGAGCTTGGTTTCACAAAGGGCAGGTACTTAATGCTGTCTTGTTTCTCTATCAATTTCACACATAAGTCCTTGAAACTTCAATTCTCTGAAATTTTTGTGTTCCTAGCATTAGTGTAATCTACTTGTTCATTTTCTTGTTTTATATAGGTGGGAGGTTGGGTGACCGAGTATGGAAATTTATTAACTTTTGCGACTGTAAGGGGTGCAGCTCATATGGTGCCCTATGCACAGCCATCAAGAGCTTTGCACCTGTTCAGTTCATTTGTTCGTGGTCGGAGATTGCCAAATACAACTAGCCCTTCAATCAATGAATGACAGAAGATGGCAACTGCATCAACGATGTTTCGAGTTGTTTTTCACATTTTCTTGAGGTCCCCTTTGCCAAATGTTAATTTCCAGCATCAATAAGAAAACGAAAAAGAAGAAAGAAAGTATTGTTTACAATTCATTAAATGCAATTGAAGAACCCAATTGGCTTTTGATTAAATGGAAATTAGTTCACAGAGCTATTTGAATGTACTGATTCAAAATCAACCGGATTGTGAATAATGAACTTTGCTTGAATTTTGCATTCATTTGTTATGGTAAATTTGAGCCCTAAGCTGTTCAATTTTTGTTTTAGGTTTTTCAAGCTTCACTAAATTCAAATAGCTCTAAGAAACCCTATTCCCCTCTCTCTCTCTCTAAGAAACCCTACCATGTTAACTTTCTCTGCTCTTTCGGGGAGAGGGTAAGGCTTTTAACCTTCCTCTTCCCTCTATTTCTTCTCCAGCGGTTTCTATCAACATGCTAGCCACTACCACTCTTCTTGTCTCCATCATCGGCTTACTACCAAGAAAACTTTTAGATTTGTCTCAGATTTAATTCATAACCAAGATCTGATACTGGTAAATGTATTTTTATACGTTAGACAATTACATCCGGTCTATAATGTTTTAATTTGTAACTTAGAGGTAGGGATTAAGATACTAAAGTTACTAGTTGCAATGATGAATGGATCATGAAGGTGATTGGTTTTATTTGTTTGGTGGCGATCATTTTTGCTTTATTTTTATGTTTTGTTTTTTGGTGTTGCAATAATATCTGTTTATGTAGAGGTTTCCTCCTTTCATGGAGGTTATCTCCTCCCTACATGGAGGTTTGTTTTTTCTCCCTATATGGAGACTCGTATCCTTTCTACATGAAGGTTCTCTTTATTCCTTTTGAGATCTATTTTATATTCTGATATACTTTATTGAATGACTTATTGTCAAATGTACAATATATTAAGTCTTATATTTTTCCATCTTAAAAAAAAAAAGCTTCACTAAATTCTATATTCATGTAAAACTCTTGTGATTTGGACAAAATGCATCAAACTGCATTGGCAAATTCCAATAAACTTGGAAGATCAAACTTCAGAAGACTGGTAGGCATATGTAAGGAAGTATTGATGATAGGAGTAGAAATCGATTGAGTTATAACGTTAAATCTAATATAGTTATTTCAACTGTGATATAAAGGAATTTTTAAATCTCAAGTTTATCTATAAAACTTGACATATTATTAATTAATTAATTTATTATTATCTTGTAAGACTATTAAATGAATTTCACCATCTTAATAATATATATATATATATATATTTTTCCTAGTTTGTTATATAGTTTTTTTTTTTTTTTTCAAAAAGTTTATTATGTAACAAAATTATATAAAAAATTAAAATTAATATTTTATAAATAGATGAGTTAGGTTGGACCTGGCCGAATTATGAATTCTCATAGCAAACCGAATCCAAAATATAAAACAGTCAAAATCTTAGTCTAATCCAATCTTATGGGCGGCAATACTTGCCCTATTCCTGCACAAATTGGACCAAATTGGGCAAATTGATGGGACCAGATTATGCGAATTGAGTAGGCCACCAAGCCAATGGTCACCCTTGATGATGACATAAATGTCATATCTTTTCTGATACATCGAAAAATAAGCAAGAATGAAACAAAAATTAATTATTTAATTAAACATTATATTATATCAAATAAGAACGAAACATTGGTATGGTTTGTTTTAAAAATTGATAATTTAATTAATTTTTTAATGAAAAAATAAAGAAAAAAAATTAATTTTTTGTAATATTTTTTTTTTGACTTTTTAAAAATAGTGTAAGGCATCTATTAAGTTTCCTATGCAAAAATATTAGACACAACAAGAATAAATATTTTTTTACGCAGGCTTAGTTTGACATATCTTGAAAAAGATAAAAAATCAAAAAATTACTTAAAAAGTTAAAAAGTTTGTAATATTTTTTTTTTTGACTTTTTAAAAATAGTGTAAGGCATCTATTAAGTTTCCTATGCAAAAATATTAGACACAACAAGAATAAATATTTTTTTACGCAGGCTTAGTTTGACATATCTTGAAAAAGATAAAAAATCAAAAAATTATTTAAAAATTTAAAAAATTATCACTATTCACAAAAAAAAAATAAAAATACAAAAAAAAAATACAACTCAACTTTTTGCTGAAGCGATGGGCTGTCCGCGTGATTGGCCTGTTGTACTAGTCTAGAAATGATTGCCTTCTTCGTGGATAACCATTTAAACTGTGTTGTTCGGCCCATGGGGGCCACCATGGGTTACATTTTGATAATCTGAACCGTTCAATATGTAGAACTTGTTGAGTACTATATGCCTGTAAAAAATTACGTTGATCGGATATCGCTAATTATATGATCAAATCAGTTTTGTATAAAAAAAGGGATGGTATTATAATTAACTGGTGAACAAAAACTAATCCAATCACTGTGATTTCGATATCTGATCAATGTGATTTTTTATAAATATATTGTAGTCGACGAGTTCTACATATTGAACGGTTCGGATTATCAAAATGGGACTTGTGGTGGGCCCCACGAGTCGAACATTACAGTCCAAATGGTTGCCCACGAAGGAGGCAATCATGTCCTTATCTCCTACACTCTGTCCGGAAAAAAGGTGTCGTACGGCCTATTACACTTAGTTCTCCTATACATTTATTTATACAATTTTTTATTACACATTTTGTCGTAAAAAGACAAAAAAGTTAACCCAAACATTCATCTTTTTTTCCTTGATTTTTTAGTCTAAAAAGAAAAAAAACACACTTATTTAGGACACCCCAAACAACCTAAGACTCCGTAGATATCTTTCTTTATATAGTCTAAGCATACGAAGAGCTTATGACATCTCATTAATAAATCCGCCATCCGTCCGCCAAATTGGCGGATTGGAGAAAATCAATCCGCAACCGTCCGCTCGTCATCACGCATCCGTCCAAAATGCAGCGGATCGGTTTGGTTCGGTCGGTTTTGGCGGATCGGTATATCCGCTGCCCACCCCTACCCCAAACAACCTAAGACTCCGTAGATATCTTTCTTTATATAGTTTAAGCATACGAAGAGCTTATGACATCTCATTAATAAAGTATCTTACAGTTGAGATAGTACACTCGAATTACATAAGATGGACATCCCGCTGGATGACCTCTCGAACGTCTGATCGGATAACTTCTCGAACGTCCGACCGGATAACCTCCCGAACGATCGTGACTATCACACCTTATCTACCATTGTACCAACCGACGACCGTTCGGATGACCAGAGTCACCCTTGTCAATCACGGTTGTCATATTTGTTTATTAGTGTGTCAATCAACATCCGTTCGGATGATCAGCCAAACGATCGGCATGCACATCTACAGACCATATGAAGAAGGAGGTATCTCCATAGAGAATCTTAATCTTCTATTTGGGTACAAGGATTTTGGTACATGTGTATCTCTAGACTATATGGAGAGAGAGATATCTTATAGAAAATTTTAATCTTCTATTTGGGTACAAGAATTTTGGTATAAGGATCTTGTTACAACTTTTAACATAACAAAATATATTTTAAAAAGTTAAAAAAAAATAAATAAAGAGAAAAAAAATATTAAAAAAACACACAATCAACTGTCAAAAGTTTAAAAATTGAAGCAAATAACACAAACATATCTAGAACTATGTCTTTTTACTTTAAATCAACAGTCAAATGCATGATTTGGCGCTAAAATTTTGAAAGCCCACCAAACACAAGCCAACGACCAAACCAAACAAACCCATTTCAAATTCAGTTAACTTTTTAGCCTCCAGGCTGAGAGAGTCATGCCGGATCTGCCTCCGATTCAATGCGTCACACAAGTCATTTCAGAGTACTGCTACACAAACCAAACTCTCACTTTTTCAATCACCAACCCAATAATTTCACTACAATCCCACAACAAACAAGTCACCCACTTCTATGCTCTGAAGCTAGTTCAAATTCAGAGCGTCCTATGTATACCCATCTCCTTCATATATGTATGCAACAATGCAAACAAATTCAATCCCGCAGGCTGTTCGACGAAATGCCCGAAAGACTTGCTTTTGCTTCAAAAGCCAGTAGGATTGTCCATGCACATGGATTGAAACTTGGGTTTGGATCGGATGGGCAGTTGGGGAATTCCATTGTTGATTTGTATGCCAAGTGTGGAAATATGGAGTTTGCTGAGAAGGCGTTTAATGAGCTTAAAACCAGAGATGTAGTGGCTTGGAATTCGGTTTTGTCGATGTACTCGAGGCAGGGATTGTTGGAACGGGTGATTCGGAATTTTGGGTCCATGAGGAATCATGGGGTGTCACCAAATCAGTTTACTTTTGCTGTTGTTTTGTCTGCTTGTGCTAGATTGATGGATGCTGAGCTTGGGAAACAAGTTCACTGTGATGTTATTAAGATGGGGCTTGAGTTGAGTTCCTTTTGTGAAGGTTCTCTTATTGACATGTATTCTAAATTTAATAATGTGATTGATGCTCGTCGGATATTTGATTGCGCTGAGGACCCCGATACAGTTTCTTGGACTGCAATCATTGCTGGGTATGTTCAAATTGATTTGCCTGAGGAGGCACTAAAATTGTTTGAAGATATGCAGAAGCTAGGTCACTTCCTGGATCAGGTGGCATTTGTGACTGTCATAAGTGCCTGTATGGGGCTAGGGAGGCTTGATGATGCTCGCCGCTTGTTTTCCCAAATACCAAGCCCGAATGTTGTAGCATGGAATGTGATGATTTCAGGGCATGCCAAGAGAGGCTATGAATGGGAAGCCGTCGAATTTTTCCAAAATATGAGGAAAGCTGGTGTTAAATCCACAAGATCCACATTGGGTAGTGTTTTGAGTGCTATTGCAAGTTTGGTGAATCTTGATTATGGCTTCCAGGTTCATGCTCAGGCTACGAAACAGGGGTTAGATTCTAATGTTTACGTGGGAAGTTCTTTAATTAACATGTATGCCAAGTGTCAGAAAATGGAAGCTGCAAAGGAGGTGTTTGATTATCTGGATGAGAAGAATGTTGTTTTGTGGAATGCAATGCTTGGAGGTCATGCACAGAATGGTTATGCCTCTGAAGTCTTGGAGTTATTCTTTCGTATGAGGAATTTGGGTTTCCATCCTGATGAATTTACCTATACTAGCATTCTAAGTGCTTGTGGTTGCTTGAAAAACTTAGAAATGGGGCGCCAATTACATTCTTGTATAATCAAGAACAAACTTGAAGCAAACTTATTTGTTGGAAATGCATTAATTGATATGTATGCTAAAACTGGGGATCTAGATGAAGCAAGGCAACAATTTGAGCTCCTGAGGAATTGTGATAATGTTTCTTGGAATGCAATTATTGTTGGGTATGTGCAGGAAGAAAATGAGGACGAGGCTTTTAAACTGTTTTGGAGAATGAACTCCAATGGTACTGTACCTGATGAAGTGTCCTTGGCCAGTATACTCAGTGCTTGTGCAAATCTTCGATCTCTTAATAAAGGAATGCAAGTACATTGTTTATCGGTCAAATATGGTTTAGAAACTAGCCTTTATAGTGGAAGCTCTCTTATTGACATGTATGCCAAGTGTGGGGCCATTGGCACTGCATGTGAAGTTTTTGTTTCCATGCCTGAGCGGAGTGTGGTTTCCACAAATGCTCTGATTGCTGGATTTGCTCAAAACAATTTAGAGAAAGCAGTAAACCTGTTTCATTTTATGCTCTCTGAAGGTTTGAAGCCATCTGAAGTTACCTTTTCATGTCTTTTGGATGCATGTTGTGGACCTTCTACTCTGAATCTCGGAAGGCAAATCCACTGCTTTATACTGAAAACTGGGCTTTTATATGATGATGATTTCTTGGGTGTCTCTCTTTTAGGCATGTATATGAACTCCCATGGAAAAACAGATGCAAATATTCTGTTCTCAGAGTTCTCAACTCCAAAGAGTGTGGTATTATGGACTGCGATCATTTCAGGGCATGCACAAAATGATTCTAGTGAGGAGGCTTTGCAGTTCTATCGAGAAATGCGAAGATTTGATGCCATGCCAGACCAAGCATCATTTGTGAGTGTCCTTAGAGCATGTGCCATCTTAGCTTCTTTGAGAGATGGTAGAGAGATCCATTCTCTCATTTTCCATACTGGTTTTTACTCCGATGAGTTAACAGCTAGCGCATTGATAGACATGTATGCTAAATGTGGGGATATGAAAAGTTCAGTGCTAGTTTTTACCGAAATGAGTAGTAAAAATGATGTTATTTCTTGGAACTCAATGATAGTAGGATTTGCAAAAAATGGGTCTGCAGAAGATGCACTTCGGACCTTTGATGAGATGAAACAGACCCATGTGAAGCCCGATGATGTGACTTTCCTTGGAGTTCTCACTGCATGTAGTCATGCAGGAAGGGTATCTGAAGGCCGCCAAATCTTTGATATTATGGTTAATTGCTATGGGATTCAACCAAGAGTAGATCACTGTGCATGTATGATCGATCTTCTTGGTCGATGGGGCTTTCTTGATGAAGCACAGGAGTTCATCGACAAACAAGAATTTGAACCTGATGCTATGATGTGGGCCGCATTCCTTGGCGCTTGCAGAATACATGGGGATGACATAAGAGGGCAGTGGGCAGCTGAGAAACTCATCGAGTTAGAACCCCAAAATTCTTCTCCCTATGTGTTGCTTTCGAATATATATGCTGCATCGGGCAACTGGGATGGGGTTAATTCTGTGAGGAGAATGATGAAAGAAAAAGGTGCGAGGAAGTTCCCTGGATGTAGCTGGATTGTAGTGGGACAGAAGACAAATCTATTTGTTGCAGGGGATAAATTTCATCCCAGTTCTGATGAAATACATGCAGTGTTGAAGGATTTGACAGCATTGATGAAAGATGAGGGTTATGTTGCTAAAATTGAGTATTTTCTCCACATGGAAGACTAAGAGAGTGGCTCTTCTATGAGGAGGACAATGACAGAAAAAGGTATGATGAGTTTCGCTCAATGTAGCTGGATTTTGGTGGGAGGGTTTTTTACTAAATTGAATTTTGTATTTTTTTTCCCCCTCCGCATAGAAGACTAAGAGTGTGGCTCTTCTCCTGTCAAGTCACTTAAGCAGAGACCAAGCCATCCAGTGATTCCAGTCGATGAATGGTGGCACAGGATAAATTTGTGTAGAACTCATGTGCTCAAGTCTGGAGGACAATTTGTCTAGAAAGTGAGGGTATCATGCAAGCAACTCCATTTTTTAAAGGTCTGGATCTGCATGAGTCATCAAAATCACTTTTTCTTCTTTTGGGAGGTCTTTGGAGTAAGAAAATTCCTTATGGCTCTTATTTAGCTATTCAAATTGCTGGAGATTCTTCATCTCTTTGTTACACAGTTTTATTAGTTGGCACACTGGTGGGCTGGGCCTCAAGGCCCTGAACATTGTCACCCATTTGAGTTGACTATCAAGGAATTCAACTCCTAAATGCTATTTTTTTTTTGTGAAGAGTAAATATAGCTTCTTCTTCACATCAAAGGAGAAGCACCCCAAAGGGCAATGATTATGGTTGGGAATGATGCCAGGTAGCTTGAGCTTCTGAAAGCCTCAATGAGAGAATGCAATGTTTTGTTCATTAAAAAGATTATGGAAATATATCAGACTTTGAAGAGCTGTATTCAATGGTGGATGTGGGTGGTTGTGGTGGTACTGTACTTAAACATCATTGTTTAGAAGAACCCACAATTAAGGGCATCCAATTTGATTTGCCTTGGGTTATAGAAAATTTTCGTTCCTATCCTGGTATAATGTTCTCTTCTTTGAATGATTTTTGGCAATTAACATGGCTTCTTGTGTATTTTTTAAGCCATTCTTTCTTTAGGTTTGGATCATTTTGTAGACACAAATTTTGAAACGTGAAGTATTTCAACATATTTCAAAATTCATGTTACAAATGTTTGATTATTTGAATAGCAGGTTCCTATTTCCGACCTATATTCCAGATCGTTAACTACACATTTTATTTAAATGAAACCTTCGATTAATGAAGAAGAAAATTAACATCAATAATATAAGGAAAGGAAATATTTTATTGAAATTGTTGTGGGTTTTAAACCCTTGAATACAAAGTACAATTCTTGGGCTTGGAACCCTTTACCTATTCATCGCCATTATGCATTTGTAGCGTAGGTTCTTGAATTCTCTGGGTTTCTCCTCTTCTTTCCTGTGAAGACTTCTTTAACTCTTGATTTCTCTCTCTCACTCTCTCTCTCTCTCTAACCTTTGATTCTCTGACTTCTGATTTTCCGTCCCCTCTCTTGTACAATGGTCCTCATATTTATAGAGGGCCATCTATGTGATAAGAGTGCCTCGTCTTCAATATGAATTTCACAAATTGAATTATAATGTCATTTGAATTTCAAATTGAATGATAACGCCATTTGAATTTCAAATTGAATGATAACGTCATTTGAATTTAGGTGTAACCATATCTGATTAATCATATATCTAATTAACCGTATTGATCCTTTGGATTTCATCCTGTGTGGTGTCCTTGTTGTAGGCTCTACAGGTGTCATCTTTCGTAAGCTCCACGTGTCATATGAGTATCTTCAATAATGTTGCTGACATAAGACGTTATTTTATTTTGCACTTCAACGGATCAAGTTGATCATTTTAGGAAGTGATTACCTACAACATTCCTATCGTAGGCTCTATGTGTGTCATTAACTGATTGACCGTATTTGAAATTTGAACATAAATTTGGTTGAAATTTATGTGCCAACACATCCTAAGATAATTATGATATTTTCTTTTGGAATAATAGTGGTTTTCTTCACCTATTGTTACAAACTACTGAAATTATATGATCAGAGTATAAAAGCTAATTAAATCTTCCACTCATGTCATTCCCCACTTGTGTTTTATGAATGGTTTTTTTTGGGGAATGCAACCTCAAAATTGGTATTAGTGACAGAGAGAATATGGTTTTTGGTTGTGCAAGTAAATCATTGGAAGAACATGGATAAACTAGTTGGTGTGGTATTCAGATTTTGTATATCCCAGGGGTATGAAAGTTTTGTCAGTTGTGCAAGTCTTCTTTGTCTTGTTGTTGCTCTATGTTACTGTGCAAAAAGACCGCCCCATACAGTGAGTTATTTGTTTTCCTTTGAGACCATCTTTAATTTTCCCCCCCTTGTTGTGCTTATGTATGTACTACATTACATGCAAATAAGCCTATATGAAAGTTAACTGAGAATGATGCTTTATCTGCACCAGTGGTCGAACGGCTCAAACCCAACAGACATGCAAAGTGACTCGATGGCCATTGTCAAAAACCGAAGGCAGGGAGTGAAGCCCATTTTTGGACATCACATCACACATTATGTAGTGAAGAATTTCACAGTTCTGGTAATGGTACTGCATGTTACTCCTATGTATGCATTCCGGAGTGACGCTCATGCCACAAGTGGGTACCTGGACTGACAATGCATCAATTCCTGATTGTAGCTTATGTAGAATGAGATACTTTTCTCTTATCTGCTTTCACAGGACAGGATTACCCTTCAATGAAGATAGAAATTTGTAAGTAAATTTTCTTCTCTTGCTATTGTGTATGATCTATCGGCATTCTGGAGTTCATCTGTGAATGTTCTAATACTGTAATTTGAATTTCCTTCCCTGCAGAGATTTGGGTGTTATGTTAAGTTACCAACTTTATCCAGGAAATTCCTCAATCCCCCCCCCGCCCCCCTCTTCCTCTAATAGTTGTTGTGGGTTCTAGTCACCTTGTTCCACTAGTTCATTTCCACCTATTTATTGTGCATTGAACATGTGCAAATAAATTCCATTACTTGAAGCATCACTTTCTTGGGGTTTCTGTAAAATTTCAATTACCAATAAGTTTGTTTAGTGACCTTATGCCTATACTTAGAAGTAGATAAATTTGAAAAAGAAAATAAAAAATTGTAATGCATAGCCGTAAGCGCTTTGTTTAATTGCTGAAAACTATCCTTGCCTGTTTCAGTGCCCCTTTTTTCCTTTTCTTTTTTTTTTCATTGGTCTACCTATAAATTAAAACTCAAACCTGTAAGATAAAGTAGCTCTTGAAAATTCTGTACAAACCAAACCATTACAATGTAGTTATGTAAATACTTTGATAAGAGTATCAAGAAAATTGAAGCACAGTTCTAACCAGTCCTTCCCAAATTTTACGGGTGGAGATTGCTTAAAGCGAATGAAAGTTAGTGACATGTGAAACCTACATTCCCACAAAGATACACCGTCCATCAACCAAATATTCATATCTTATGGTCTAGGAATAAAAGCCTCCTAACATGTAGATTTTAAGTGTTCTCCAAAACAATCAATGAAAACAACTATGCATATCGTAGCATGAGTGTCAAGTCTCAGGAAACTTGGAAGCATTGTAGGCACAACATTATCAGAGCCTTCACTACAAATAGGTACCCAGAAACACTTCCTTCACCACATCAAGCCATTCCAAAACGTGAATTTTCACAACATCCAAATGGCCTCTCCTCTTCCTGACCTTGACTTCCCACATTTTCCTGCCCCACCACCTCCGGCAGTGAAACCCCCGCCACCACCTCGCACCATTCCTCCTCCACCTCCCCATATCATTCCGCCACCACCTCCGTCGTCACCGCACCATGGTGGCTCTACTGTTATAATTATCATTTTTGTCTCGTGTGGTTGTCTCCTTCTCCTTGCATTCTTTGCGATTGCTCTCTTTTGCATCATCATCAAGAAGAAGAAGAAGAAGGAGAAGGTACAAGAAACCGATATTGTACATGTTCATGAACACTTGAAGGTGAAGGAGGCTGTTGTGAAGGGACCTCGTGGAACGGAAGCTATGACGCTAGCGATTGATGATGATGTGGATGTTGATGAAGAGATCCGCAAGGAGGAGAAATTTAAAGGTACACATGCTAAACTTAAATCTGCAGACGACAATCCTAGTGCCATTGAGGAAGGAGTATCCACTTCCCATTCAAGTCAACACCATCTGGGACCCGAACCCTGATTAAGGACTGCTCTATGATCTTTTCTCTTCAACCTGAAGACTTTATGCTCATTTGTATAGATATGGTGTAATAAACACAATTGGATTGGCATGTACTGATATGGCTTTGTATTTGTTCTTTTGTATTTTCCATTATCATTATTATATTATATTCCTGGTTGTTATGGAAACCGAACCCCCGAGAGTGAGCTGCGATTATAGCTGCTCATGAACTTGACTACATGAATGAATGTTTAGTTAACTTTTCTAGCTATTTGAATTCACTCAGGAAGTAGTCTACATTTGACATGTAGTTAGGGCATGTTTAGTTAGGGCATGTGTGTATTTATTTTTTTTTCTTTCAAATTTCATGTTTTTGGAAACAAAAATAATGTGATGTTTGAAATCACCAATGGTTTTAATTTTTGCACAAAAACAGTTTTGGAAAATTTGAAAACAGTTTTTCTGGATCATTTGAAACCATCTTGCTATGGTCACTTGATGCATTCTGCTCAGCAGTAGCAACTGAAGTGGGAAAAATACAGAATCCTTTTTTCCGTTCTATCAAATTAATATTTGTTAGTGATACCGACTTAGTGAGTCCTTTCTTCTGTGATGAACTGTTGCCATCTGTCTTACGTTTTGCCGCGGTGGACCGAGGAGAAAGGGGCTCGGTTATTCATGCTGCTAATTTCTTTGTCCACACCAGGATACATACTGCTTATGGAGGTTTCCTGAATCCTATCTTACTGGAAGAATCAAATACACCATTTATTTTGAAAGTCCCCTTATTCTAGCAAATCCTGATATTGAAAGTGCAGTGATGCTAGAGACTTCTAATTTAGAGGCTCTAAACACACCTCTAATGAGGTTGAAACAAAAAAAAACAAAAACAAAAACAAAAACAAAAAAGCACTGACAGTGACAGTGGGTGAGATCCACTTTTGATTGAAAGTGTCAATGTGAAGATGAGAAAGCCTATAGAGACATTAATTGAAGTGCACTTATATAGGAAAAAGAAAAGGAAAAGGAAAACGACATTACTTAACATGTTGGACATTTGTCCCTTTGTGGCAAAGAATGAATAACACAAGCCACAGCCAATTTTGAAGCCACCCATATGGTAGGACCCATTTCTAGTGGTATTTTGTGTATCCGATATATATTTCCTATATTTTATCCCGGACCAGTTGCTTTTGATCCCCTTTCCAATGCGTACCTCTCTCTCTTCCATATATATGGAGCCTACCATTGTGGATCACATCTATACAGAGAAATATAACCGTAATGTACTCATTACAAAGTCCGTGAATTTACAAAATGCTTGAGTAGAAACTTCCTGAAAAGGGTATCTTTCAATATCAATGTCATGGCCAGTGACACCCTCCTCATTCAACATGCACTTCAAATTCTCAAACTTCATTCATCACATTTTATCAGATTGAAAAAGAAAAAAACAAAAATAAAATCATTCAATGACTTGATAACATAAAAATAAAAATAAGAAGGCAAGATTGAAGTAAGTGAAGATGAAAAATATATATACACATAGAAACCATAGACACAAACCAAAGTGACATAGACCAGACCATCTTAAACTTATTTAAGTAGATATTCACCAAGTAGTAGTTCTGTGTGCACCAACTACCCCAAAACTGACTTCAAACTGGAAAAATTGAACTTGGAAAAGACAAATATGTTTCTTGCAGCACACACCCCCACTTCACAGATGTTCTAAGCTCCCATGTGAATGATGCAGCGGATACCTTCACCGCGCAGCATGTACTCGAATGCCTTGTTGATCTCCGAAAAAGGAACTTCATGGGTAATGAATTTCTCGAGTTCCAATTCCTGCAGCATCAAGACAAGGTGAGTTACCACTATTTGATTATACAGATGGATAAATTTGTCCAGGATTGAATTAAACTACCAGGTTTTGGATCATGTTAAATTCCCCAATTTTAGACGTTTTAATGATTAGAGACAAGATTACCTTGTTCATATATTTTTCCACGACAGATGGTAGGTCAGTGCGGGGCTTGTAGTTCCCGAAGAAGGTGCCCTTGAGAGTTCTCTCATTCAACAAATTCATAGGATGAGTTTTGAATGAGTCATCTTTGTTTGGCACACCAACGAGCACAGCAACTCCCCAACCCTGCAAAGGAATACCCCAATTTCAGATAGTAAATTAATGTCCTAAGTTATTGATTTTACACATTTAAGATTGAACACAATGGATTGGTTTCGAAAACAATTGCTTACATCATGAACACATTCAAATGCAGAGATCATGGCATTGACATTTCCAGTACATTCAACACTACGGTCCACTCCTCCATCAGTCATGTCGGCAATCACCTGACAACCAGAATTTAAATCTCAGAACTAACTAATAATTCAAAGAAGTGATTTTTTTAAAACTCAAATCAACACTTCAAGTACTCAACTACATCAATGAGGGTCATTTCCCTATGCAAAGTTAGCTTTGATATGCAATAACAAGCGTGTTTGCTTGCACCTTAGGAAATTACACTTTTGCAAATGGTTCCAATCCCAAATGTTGTCACCAAACCGTATCCAAATGAAACAATTGGTGACAGTTCGCACAGGTTTGACGATCGCATATGGGGTTTGGGATACGTTTGGACAATTGTCCAAACGATTTGTCTAAACGAGTGGTTGTCAATTTACTTGGTGCCCAATTTACATTTTTGCGCCATTACAAAATGGCAACAAAGTGGCGTCAAACGCTTTTTGACTTTTTCCTATAGTTTCGTTAGTCTCAACTAATTGTTTCTACAACAGGTTAACGTGACAGTAAATATGAAAATGGTTTGGAACTAACCTGTTGAACTGGCTTGTCATAATCTTTTGGGTTCACAAACTCGGTAACACCAAACTTCTTAGCTGTGGGAAATAAATTAGGACCATCATCAAGAATCAGATGAGAAATTAGGATGGGGAGCAAAGCCAACAAGAAATAGCAATTATTAATCATTAAAACTTACCTTCATCGAATCTATTTGCATTCAAATCAATTCCAATGATCCTGGAAGCTCCAGCAATACGAGCACCTTCAGCCGCCTGACAATTTTGCCGAAAATGATGCAAAAGATAATTCATAAGATTTCAATCTTACGGATAATGAGAAACAGTAAAACAAGAAAGCAACAAGATTTACTTACAGCTAGGCCTACAGCTCCCAATCCAAAAATAGCAACGGTTGAACCTTTTCGTGGTTTGGCTACATTTAAAGTTGCACCAAGTCCTTCAAACACAAAAAGCATAAGGAATCAGTGAGATAACATCATATTATAGACTAAACACGTTACACAGTTTTTGTTCTTTTTTTTCGTACCTGTGGATATTCCGCAGCTGAGAACGCAAACTTTGTCAAGCGGAGCTTTGGGGTTAATCTTGGCAACACAGCCAAAGTGTACGACAGTGTATTCACTAAATGTGGAAGTGCCAACGAAGTGATAGATGGGCTTTCCATTGATGGAGAACCTTGTTTTGCCATCGCTAAGCATGACCCCTCTATCAGTATTTATCCTGAGGAGGTCACACATGTTGCTCTCTTCGGATTTGCAGTGGCGGCACTCTTTGCACTCCCCAGTGAAAACAGGGAGGACGTGGTCTCCTGGTTGGAGATCGGTCACTCCCTCGCCTACACTTTCCACAATTCTAATTTCCATGAAAACACAAAGAAAGTCATTAGCAAAAGTAGTACATATTTAAAGCCAAGCCCTTGAAATTTAATATGGTTATTCATACCCTCCAGCTTCATGACCTAATATGCGAGGAAACACGGGTGTTTGTCCCTGCAATATAAAAAATACGTTTCAGTCACAATCAACTGTTAACAAATCCAAACTACTACTGGTAAATTTCAGCACAACTGATGGCTTCAGAGTCCGGGTTTAATTTACAGAATGGTCTTAAGAGACAACGGATTGATCTATAGAACAATCAACAATCAATCCTAAGGAATCTATCAGATGAAAACTAAACCTCGGAGAGAACTAGGGAAGAAATTTTTTTTAAGATTCAAATAAAATCGAGCAAGACAAATACATCAGTTCAATGCATTTTGCAATTTTGTTTTCAGCTCAATTTTCATTTTTCTATTGAAAGTACCCATCGTTTTCATATAGCCTTCTCTTTTAAGTGCGAAAATAGTTTTTATAAAAAAAGTGGATTGTTTTAGAGTTTCATGTTTCCAAAAACAAAACAACAAAAAGTTTGAAAACAATTGTCAATTTCACATTGTTTTAATTTTTGTGCGAAAACAGTAATCTAAAATCTGAAACTAACTTTCTATTAAAAGAGTGCTGTTTTTAGAATTCAGAAACAAAACAATTACCAAACAAGTTTCATGTGCTTTTCGAAAAGTGAAAATAGAAAATGAAACCGTAAACAAACAATATATGCAAGATTATCACAAGCATTATCATACATTCCGGGATTCAATTGTCCTACAGTTTTGAGGATTTTGTTGCTGTGGTTTATGCAATGGACAAAATAGAGTTACTATGAATTATACATATATGAATGTTTCCATTGGAAACTAAATTTTCTTTATTCAATATACCTTGGCTTCCCAGAAGTAAACATCAGTGTGGCAAAGGGAAGTATAGAGGATCTGGAGACGAACTTCCTTTTTCTGCGGCGGTGCCACCTCCACCTCTTCTATCACTAGTGGCTTCCCTGCTTCCCATGCCACCGCAGCTACACCACCACCAACAAATATTCAACAATCAGCCATGGAAACATCAATGTATTACAGTTTCAGTAATACCATAAACCCAAAAAAAAAACACCCAAAAAAAGAAATCAATGGTCTAAATTCACTGTGTATGATCCATATTCTATTAACTTTAAATCCACACCACACACTCACTTTTGGGGCAAGATATTAAATAAATTTTCATAGTCCATGACATTTTTGTTACATGTTATGCTACAGTTTCACTCAAGATCAGTGAAAATGCTTGGCAATAGATTCTTCAGAAGAATAAAAAAAGTGAGTTTAGAAGGTAAAATTGGTGAAATAACTGTATGATCACATTGCGTAAATTCTCATCAGACAACCGAATAAAGAACAGAACATGCTTCATATTTATTTTTCTACCCAATTCTGTTGTAGTTGAAGATAGGAATCCGAATCAGAATATACTCATATCCACTAACAAAATATTTAAGTTTACAATTCCATAACAATTTTTTTTTTTTTATAAATTTTTTATATATCTTGTATTCCCTTTACTTTCCCTTTTCCATTTCCTTTGTGAAAATTAAACGCAGAGTAAGACTATCAACCAAGAAAGTATTATGAAATAAATGTAGATTTAAAAAAACACATTAAATGAAACAACATATCAAGAAAATAAATAAATAAACCCCTCTAAATTCAGCTGATGTGAAAATTAATTGTAAAAGGAAACTATAAAAAACAAGACAATAAAAGAAATATAAATGGAGCAACTGAGTGAAAACAGTGTTTAATAGTGGATGTCACAACTTTGATGTATATGATCATAGATTATTATTTTTTTTTTTGTGTGATTGAACAGTGTTTATATTATACCTATAATGATTCAAAATGTAAACCTAAATGACATTCAGAATAATAAATCTGATCAATCTCTTTTATTTTTAATTTTTGAAAATACATTTATGTTGTGTTTGGTTGAGGGATTTGAGGAGGGATTTGAAAAGGGAAATGAAAAAGGTAGGTGAAATATGAATAAAACATGCCTAAATTTCACCTAGTTTCACACATCTTTTCCCTTTCCCTTTCCAAATCCCTCCCCAAATCCTCCAACCAAACACACCATTAATTCTTACTTTTCGGTTTTGCTTTTTCTATCACTCCATAAATCACCTCTCAAATCTTTAATCCAAACCCAATAAAATTAAAAATAAAATAAAAAATAACCCCAAAACAGAAGATCAGATGAGAGTAAAGTTTTGTAACCTTTGCAACGAATGGTCTGACCAGTAAAGGGAAACATTGACATCTTTGTTGATTGTTGTTGTTGTTGTTGTTGTTGTTGTGGTGGTTGTTGATGTTGGTTGGCAGAGATGTATGATGATGAGTAATGAGATTTTTTGTTGGGATAGAATTGTTTTTTTGTTGTGAATTTGAAAATGAGGTTGTGAAGAAAAAGGTTGTTGTGATGGTGAGGTGGTAAATATACTACTTGTACTAGAGAATTGATGAACGCAGCGAGTGAGTACTGTTGACCAACTACCGGCACAATAATCGTGATGATACGTAGGAAGAGGAGGAGATTGGAGAGAGAGACAGGAGATGGAGAGAGCCATTTATCTTTCTTTTCTGCTTCCTGCCTGCCTGCCTTCTCTGCTGTCTTTATAATTTCATTCCAACGGCGCTCCTCTTTCCCCCTTTCTTTTTTTATTATATTTTTTTTTATTATTATTTGCCACGCGTCCTTACTCTGAATTACCACATTGTCCTCGCTATAACGCCAAGTTTGAGAAGATCAAAATAATTCATCTTTTTATCTTTTTATATTTTTTTTTATCACATTACTTTGTTATTTTTTTGTATATCTTTTCGTAAAATGACAAAAAGTACACTTATTTAGGTCATCCCAAACAACCTCTAAATTTCCACATTGTCCTCACCTTTTACTTCTTTTATTGATTTATGTCTGATTTGTCCTTACTTAAAAAAGTTAAAAAATTATTATTTTATTTAAATCACATCATCTTATTTAAGTTATATCACCTTTCTATCACATCACTTCAAATATAATTCATACTTAACTCATATTTTATAAAAAGTCAAAAAATGTACTTATTTAGAACATCCCAAACAGCTCCTAGTGAGCTTCCTGCCTGCCTGCCTTCTCTGCTGTCTTTATAATTTCATTCCAACGGCGCTCCTCTTTCCCCCTTTCTTTTTTTATTATATTTTTTTTTATTATTATTTGCCACGCGTCCTTACTCTGAATTACCACATTGTCCTCGCTATAACGCCAAGTTTGAGAAGATCAAAATAATTCATCTTTTTATCTTTTTATATTTTTTTTTATCACATTACTTTGTTATTTTTTTGTATATCTTTTCGTAAAATGACAAAAAGTACACTTATTTAGGTCATCCCAAACAACCTCTAAATTTCCACATTGTCCTCACCTTTTACTTCTTTTATTGATTTATGTCTGGTTTGTTATCACTTAAAAAAGTTAAAAAATTATTATTTTATTTAAATCACATCATCTTATTTAAGTTATATCACCTTTCTATCATATCACTTCAAATATAATTCATACTTAACTCATATTTTATAAAAAGTCAAAAAGTGTACTTATTTAGAACATCCCAAACAGCTCCTAGTGAGCGTTTGGGAAGTTCAGTGTGTTTGGTTTGAGTTTTTTGAATTAAATTTTTTAAAAATTAAGCTTTTTGATTTTCGTGTTTTTTGTTTTTTGTTTTTAGTGAATATTTTTTAAATTTTAAACATTTTTTTTTTACTTTTTTAGATGCACTCTAAAAAGTAAAAAAATTGTGAAAAAATATTTTAAAAAATTAATAAATACATAAAAATAAAAAAAGTACTGAATTCTCGTATTTTTTTGTATTTTTGATATTTAGTGAATTTTTAAAAGTTTTTTTCATAATTTTTTTACTTTTTAGATACATCTAAGTTAGGTATGTCTAAAAATTTTAAAAATTCCTTCAAATATTTTTAAAAATTCAGTAAAAACAAAAAAACACGAAAAATAAAAAAGTAAAATTTTTTGAAAAGTGTTTTTAGAAAAGTGAAACCAAACAAAGTGATCTAATAGACTATTTTAATTTTTAGTTGTTTTAGTAGGTTAAAATTTTTATATTTAGAAAGATAATTAGATTTTTTTTATAGTTTGATATGATGTTTGTGAGAAAAAGTAAAATGATTATGAGTTTAATTGGACATTTTGTCTTATTAACTATTTTAATTTATTTTATCTTTTTGTAAATTTTAGTCACAAAGACAAAAAAAATCTTTCCCAAATAAGGCCTTAGTATGAGATTAGGGGTGGCTTAATTGTATATTGATTGATTTACAAAGAGAATGAAGTCTCTCTTTATAGAGAGAAAATGGGCATTGGATACCACCATTACCACCGAAAGTAAAAGGTAAAGCTATACAATTTAATAATATAAAGCTAAAGCTAGTCTAGTCTAACATAAAGCTATACAATTAATAATAATAAAGCCTAAAGCTATTCTAACAATTAGGATGATCTAAATAAGTGTACTTTTTGACATTTTATAAAATATGAGTTGTGTTTGAAGTGATATGATTTAAATAAGATAATATGACTTAAATAAGATAATAACTTTTTAATTTTTTAATTTTTTTTTAAATTACGACAAATAAGGCCTAAATAAATAACACTTGATTTCAGTAACATTTTGTGAGGCCTTCATTGTGTTTGGAATGATTTGGGTAAATATATTTTTTAATTTTTTATAAAATGATATAAAATAATAATAAAATGATGTAATTTATATGATACTTTTTATGATTAAAAAAATAATGAAATATAAATTATATTGTTAACTATGTGAGAGAGACACGAGATGGAGAATGTCTTTCGTTTTTTGCTTTCCTGCCTGCAGGCTGCCATCTTTCATTCCAACGGCGCTCTCGTTTCCCCAATTATATATTTTATTATTACAAAAATATTTGAGACCTCCTTTCTCTCCTATCCCTTTTGATTCCCTTTCTTTTTTATTGGCCAATTTTTTTTTTTCTATTTTTTTCTCTTTCTTCTCCTTCAATCACCACCCGCCACATATGTGTAGGGTGGTGATTGGAAAGGATTTCTATCAATGCTCTTATTATTATTACTTGCCACGCGTGCTTACTCTAAATTACTAAATGCTCTTAATTTTAAATAATTTATTATCTTTTTTATTAAATTTTTACATGGAACTCACACAAATTTACATTTGTATATATTTCACACATATATAAAAAAAATTTAGTAAAAAATTTGATAAATTATTTAAGATCTTTAACATAACTCCTCTAAATTACCACATTGGTGGCGTTTGGTAAAACTTATTTTCAACTTAAAACAGCTTTTGGCTTAAGTTAGATTGGTGTGTTTGGTACAACTTATGAAGATAGATTATGGCTTAATTTAAGCCAAATTTCAACTTAAATTCAAAGTTGCTTCGCAGGTGCTTAAAAATAGAGCTTATGAGCGCAGCTGTTTTGTGAGGGGCAAAATGCCTTAAATGCCCCTTCAAAACTTAAGGAATAACGAAAATGCCACTAAATAAGCATACCTCTTCATCTCAGACCTAACTCTCCCCTTCTCCTCTCCTCTCAAACGGCGCTGCTCCTCTTCTCCTCTCTTCTCGCTGCCGACTGCTCCACACATCAAAATCGTCGGCGATCGTCCATATTTTCCGTTGATCTCCACCAAAAAGTAAGATTTGAAACCTTAAACCCTATGTTTTGTTATATATAGATATACATATATTAGATATATACATCGATTTAGGATTTTTTTGGTTTTTTGTTGCTATGTGTTCAAACCCATGAAGATTTGTGTTTGTTTGTGGTTCTGGTTGCTCTCTCGCTCTCTCTCATCGATTTTGGTTTGTGGTTCAAAGTCTGCAGTTCAGTTCCCAAAATCTGTGTTTACACTCTCAAAAGCAAATAATACAAAACACTCAAAAATTTGCTAAAATGCTACCCGTGACGTATCACATTTAGCCTGTTAACTTAGCTTTAGGGCAAAAAAATAAAGGGGCAGATTGTAGGGCAAATTATCAAAGCCTGAAATTATCATTTTTTATAACAGTGTATGAAAAATCATCTAAAATATGAATAACCACAAGTAACCACTTCCTCTACAAAATAGAAATGGTTGGGGGGCCTTAACATATTTATTAGAGTTTTTTTTTTAGAAATGGTTTGTAGGTTCACATTTTTAAAAATGTTTTTGGTCCTTTTTTGTTGCTTAATTGGCTAGTTTTGATTGTAATATCATACATTAATCAAAGAAAAATGAAAACAATGAAAACAAATTTAGAGGGCTTTTAGTTAATTGGACAGTATGATCCTTTTGGATGAAAACAATTGAACTGCAGGGGAATATTGGATGAATATGGAATGCATAACTAATTTAATGAAAACAATGAAACTGCAGTTTTGATTTATGGATGAATATGGAATGAAAACAATGAAAACAAATTTATGGGTTCACATTTTTATTCCAAACTTTTGTTTCTACCTAAAGCTGTTAAACTGTAGGGGTTATTTTGTAACGCCCTCAAAATAATAACATTAAACCCATCAGATAAGACAAGCATTTACATATAAACTAACCACATTCGAAAGGATGTAAACAAGATAATAAACAACTACCAACATCCACGGACACATGTCCGGATCACTATACAACAAGGGTAAACCCGGGATCGCTATATATTTTAAACTAAAATATTATTAGTGTAACTTATAATTTTAACATTACTATTAGTTTAACATTATTCTGATTGATTTTTATTCTTAAATTAGGTTATAAATTATTTTTCATAAAAGAAAATATTTTAAATTTTACCTAATTATGAAAACAATGAAAACAATGAAACTGCAGTTTTGATTTATGAAAAATAATGAAAACAATGAAACTGCAGTTTTGAAAACAATTTCAAAACTGCAGTTTCGATTCATGAAAAATAATGAAAACAATCTAATTATGAAAACAATGAAAACAATAAAAAACTTCTAGTCCCACTTCTGAGATAATGTTAGTCATTCAAGCTTGATACTTGTGTTACTTTGTCTCTAGTTTGGGGCATGATGACTGACCTTTAAGAAGCGAAAAATGAGAAATTTCATAGCTGTTCACTGAAAACCCCATTGACACAAGTTGTTATTCTTATTATTTTTAATATCTTGCACCTTACAAAGGAGAGAGATATCGTCTAGCTCAATTTGAACATGGTCAACCCCCTCAAAATGCACAAGAAAAATTCAACCAAGCACATTCATCACTTAGAAGTGTAATAGAAAGAACATTTGGGGATTGAAAAGCAAGATGGCCGATGATAAAGGATATCCCACCAAACTACAGTTGGGCGACCCAAGTCAAACTTATTTGTGCAACAATGGCAATTCATAATTTCATCCGACGAAGTGAGTTCCGCGATATTGCATTTGACTCTTATGATAGATTCGCGGATTATGTGCCTAATGAATAGGAAGGATCTTCGTCTCAACAAGCACGCCATGGAAATGATGTTGACTGTGATGACAACGAGATGGAAGTGAGAAGACATAATATTTGTATGTCAATTTGACGACGAAATTAGGAGATCTATAAATATGTATGAAGTTTTATTTTTAT